CTTGTGACATCACTAAGGGCCACCAGGCTGCTCCGCCATGACGACAGGGTGGGGAGGCAAGACCATGTCACAGGACCAGAAGATTCCAACACAGCACGCAACATTCTAGAATCAGCGGGCGGTTGGAATTCTACCTCAGCACAATCCTGCAGGAGCTGCCATGGGGTTGTCATGACCACAGCGCAGGACGCAGCGCTTGCTCCTGTGGAGCCTCGTACGACTGGCCTCAGGCCATCCCTCTGCAGGGCCTTCCTGCCCTCGGGCAGATGGACATTGCTTCCCAACAGCGTACCTTCCAGCGCAGGGCCTATGTACAATCCACACTGGAGTCCTATAGATCTGTATCAAGCTATCTATACCTAGACACACAGTCACGACTACCATCTTTTTTCTGAGTCTTGAGGTACACCATTCAGCGGTTTCATTGCCATCAAACAACCCCACTGACGTCACACTGCTGACACAACGTCCTTGCAAACACAGCAGCAACTCCTGGCACCGATAGCTACGGGTACAACAAGCACAGGGCTCTGGGTTGCTTTGGATGCAGTTGGAGCATGGATCTGAGGGCTCTGTGGAAGGGGATATACTTCAAATTGCACCGACGTTTTCAGACCATTTCTCTTTCGGCATGGTCCCAGCACCTGGCATGCTGATCATCATCCTGAATATACATTTTGTCAAAGTTCTAGAACTAATGAAATAGTTCCTTACCAAACGCAATCTGATCACTCTTCTGGCCATATTTTGTTCCAGCTATCGCTTCCTGCGGGTGGCACAAATAGTGCTGCATCACCTATAGCTCTCTGCTCTTACAGTTCTGATGCTGTCTGAGCAGTCCTCGTGGCCTCAAAACTCTCTCATGCCACACGTGCCACATTCTGAGGCACAGAATATATATCGCGCTACTTCAAAACGCCTTTTTTTTTTTTTTTTAATATAATGATACTAGGGATAATCATCTGGAGCTAGAGCAATATGAAAAAATTCCCTTTAGTTCAACCATAAGTCTGCCCCATGGACTCCAGAAGAGCTCTAAGAATATGCAGGGTGGACATGGATGGCAGCTACCATAAGAGTAAGCAATGAAAAATGAGGTTGGGAGCCATGCTGTGTCATTGCATCTGCGGGCAGGGATTTCTCCTTGGACTGAGCAGAGTGCAGATGTCGCCTGAGAAAAGAACTTAGGATCATTCAGGAAAAGCAAATGAGTTGAGTAATTAATTGAAGAAACTCATGTTCTAAAGGTACTTAGAAGGAGAGAGTATTTCCCAACAGAATGGGTTTAACTGTCTATTCCCTGTTTTGTTCGACAGGTCTACTCTATATATGCTTACACTGACCCGAGAGGGCATGCTTCAGCACACCCCAGAATTTCCAGTTTCCACATCATCCAGGCAGCGCAAGTGCGGTGTACATCTCCCTTGGCACAGACATCAAGCTTTTCTTCCTATGCAATGAAACACGTAGCGAGTCAGAAAGGACTAGTGAACGTGAAACTCATTTTGCACGCAGCGTTAGAATATAGCTAAGGTACCTCCACTGAGATGAGCAAGCTTCGGTTTGGGCTTGGGTTTAAAGGCTGCCAGCTTAGATAGAAACACTGCCATTCGGAAGGCTAGGAAACCTTGGCGCTTAAAATTCCTGGAGACTTGGAAAGTTCTCAAAGAAACCTTGAAAAGCTGCCTTGAAGTATTCCTGTTGAAAATTGCTGGGATGCCTCACCACATCATTCACCATGACTATTCATATCATAAACCATAGATTAAATCACTTTTAAAACCATGGATTGTAATTATCGGCAATACTTCCTCCCTGTGGATCTCAAGCTCTCGTGAGTGACTGCAATGAGGGGCGGCAAGGGGATTCTGGTGCTAAGCTGAACATCATTCCAGAAATCTGTTCTCCTGAACTAAAAATACAGGCTAAAGGAAACAAGGCGTGTATTCATCATTACACTGACTGCATTAGAGTGTGCTTTTGTGCACACGTGGATCTAGAGACATCGCTAAGAACTTAATTGGTCCACCCAATCCTTAAGCAACTCTGTAATTCAAGACACCTAACAAGGATGGAGGCTCAGTGGGCCATGGGCAAAGCAGGGAGGACAGAGGCAGGAAGCAGGAAGGAGTTCAACTCCAGCTCTCCCCCACAAAAGACTGGGAGAGCTGAGTCAGCACCACGGGAGGAGTTACGACACAGCTTGGGAGCTTACAGAGAGACCTGAGATTGCCAGAGGACGGCGCCAGGGAACTCTCACCAGTCCTGTGCAGGGGTTTCATGGATGCTTGGGATGCTGACTTCCACTGCCTGTGTCCTTGGTAGGAAGTCCAGGTGACAAAGGCTCCTTCTGTCTGGGTAACGCTTCTGTGGTTCCATGGTTATGACTGGAGGGGAAAAAAAAAAAAAAAGTAAAGTAAAGCACGCAACCCTGTAAAAGTTACTCCTCCGCTGCTCTTGTCAGCATGACAACTCAGATGAGTGTTACGTGTCCTGCACCTGACTGAAAATGCAACCAAGCCCATATTGC